TATTCATAACATTCTGGAGTTTTTGCAAATTGCTATTATAAAAGCTTAAGCAGCAACTTTTCCAATTTCCCATATTTGTGTCATTTTCAAATTTTTTGGCCATGACTGGAAGTCTAAACAGGCTGAGAGTAATTCACACCAGTGACAGTTTTTTTAAAATCAAACCAGAGTTAAATGTTACAGATGGACTTTGAGTAATTTTACACACCAGACACCACCTCCTAGGACGAAGTCGTACGTGTTCCAGTCAAGATGGAAACTTTATACTTGTAGATGGAATGGATTGGGTGTCTGAGATTAACACATACACACACACGCTTGCACGCGCAGACACACACACACACACACTCGCACCTGCATGCATGCACTCACACACATACATGCACACAAACTCACACAATTACACACACTCATACACGAACAAACACACACACATGCATGCACGCACACGCACACACACATGCACACGCATGCACACAAACTCACACAATTACACACACTCATACACGAACAAACACACACTCACACATGCATGCATGCACACACGCACGCGCACAAACTCACACACGCACAGACACTCATACATGCACGCATGCACACAAACTCACACACACACACACACACACACACACACACACACACACACACACACACACACACACACACACACACATATGATGGTGAATTTGAAAACATTATGTAAGTCATTGAAGCTCAACCATGAAACTGACAAACAAGACCTACCACTTTTGGTTGAAATACTAAATTTCCTTGTCATTGTTTGAATTCTATCTAAATATTTTTTAAAGAAGTTAAAGTGCAGAATGAAAGTTTTCTGATTACATCCAGCTTCTCTTGTGAGGTTCATTTTAAATCCCAGGCTCTGGTGGAGATGATTATCTGTCTGCAGATACGATTCCGCTCTGTGACATGATTTCCCGGCACAGAGAAGGGCATCTGTCTCATTTACTTAGTTTTCTGTGTTTCTGGTTGCTAAAGTTTCAAGTCTTTTTTGGTGAATAAGCTCATGTTTTCTCACCTTTTCTTTCAGAAGATCTTTATGTCAGAATAAAAATTCTTTGTGCAGGGTAGCTGTGTTTACCTAAAGGTTCTTATTAGAATTACAATTAAACTTTGATTGTTAGAATAAATGAGAAATTCATAATGTCATATTAAAATGGTGTACATTGTATTAAAAAAATGTACATTTAACTTACAAATCATACATTTGTAACTTTTTTAAGATGCTCCCATATTTTTATCTAACTTTTCTGATAGTTTTCACTCATCCTGTTACCTAATTCCTAGTGGTACGATGACGAATACTTCGCAGATGTAAAAACCTCACTTTGGTCTAAATGAAGCATTAGAGCTGCAAACGACAGAAGGTGCCAAAAGGGGTGTTTTAACTATTCACCAGAGGAATTATTACTTATTAAAAACATTTGGTGAATCCTGGTTATGTTAGTCACATTCAGGATGTTTGACTGTGACAACCTCCTAGCCCTTTTAGGACAGTGAAATGATTTGAATTAAAGTTTTAAGAGGTTTACTTACAGCGAACGGCCAGGACTTCCAGCAGGATAAACGACAAGAAAGACAACAGGTACATGGTGAGAAAAAAGGATGAGTAGCGTCCCCACAGTGAGAGTCTTAACCTGTGTGCTGAGCATTCAGCCCTAAGAGGACGGCATCTCACCTGCACTCTCAGGTTACTTACAGTTTTGGTTTCCATGGCTACATCCTTGTCTCGGGTCAATTTATAATTGAAGCGTCCTGAGCACGAAACCCTTGTCGTCTCCACTTTTCATTGACCTACCAAGCTGCCTATTTGTGTCCATTTTTTATGCGATCCCCAGATTAAATACTGGATCTGTTTATTGTCACATGGAATATTAAAGGATATGCTGAGTTTACTGTGATGTCTGGAGCCTGAAAGTCATGGATGGATGTTGGGTTTTATGTGTCGCTGCCCCATGCTGGTGCCATGACAGGCCTATCCAGCATTTGGCAGTCTATCCCTGAGTGAATGGAGCTCCAAAAATGGAACAAATGGTCTGATATCAAAATTAGTAAAACAAGCTGATGACTGTCATTACTGTGTGGTCTCCTCTCATTGACTTCACTGGAAAGAATTGATCAAGGTCTCAGCAGTGAAAGCGTTTGTATCAAGGACTCACTTCAGCAGCCCGGTGTAACTAAAACTGGAGAAAGTTTCATCATAGCTCTGTGGATATCTTGGCCTCAGCTGGATAATGGTCCTCACTTGTGCTGATGGCTGCAGTTGGGCTGTCACTCATCCCTTACCTCGGTTCTAGCTCCTCCTCAGTCTATGTGTCGCTATCAGTGACTCTCAATCTCCTTGGCCACAAAATGAAAAGATTAACAGCACATAAAGGTTCAAACATCTCAGTGAACTACCTTTCACATCATTTCATTTTTAGAGATTTTACTTCTCAAAAAAGTTCCAAAAATGTATATTAAAAAATTACAAACTTCCTCCATAATCAGTCTTCCACTGTTTATCCAGGATCAGGTCACAGACGTCCAGAAGTAAAGCTTAGACTCCCTCTCTAGCTCCTGATGAGGAATACCAAGATGTTCCATCCCCCAAAATGATATTTAAAATAACAAATATATGATAAATGACCTGCACTTGCACAGCACTTTTCTCAGTCAAAAGCACTTTACACCACAGTGTAACGGAAGGAAATGACTGTTTTCCACCTAAAAGAAATTCCCCCCCTCTCCTCAGCAAGAACTAATCTGCATGAGATATTGTTCAAGGTCTCATGCATCTGCTTCTAAACTGTTTTCCTTTCCATCCCAAGAGAAGAATGAAGACAAAGGACTTTTTCATTTTAATAAATCAGAAGAATTCTATTTTTAATGAGCTAATCAAAAAAAGTGTTAGTCAATAATAAAATGTGAACCAATTTGTGAAATGAAAATATTTCACAATAATACTAATAATAATAATATAATACTTAATATTATAATCCTATAATAAGTAATATAACTTTAAATGTTTCCACTAGAGACTTCTCACACGTAAGGTTAAGCCACATCACACATTGCTTTTACTGATCCAATCAGAATCTTCCAGATCTGACGGAGGCGTGGTTTTGGTGGTGCTTGGTAAATCTGTCATCTTTTCATTTGACCATAAACCAAAACATCCAAATTATAAAACTATGCCCACGTCATCTTTAACACCAGTTCAAAGCGTTCTAGAGAAGTTGTCGGAGTGGCCAATCCGTAACTTTCCTCTTCAGCCAAAAGAACCAACGACAAGCTGGATAAAATCTGTTGCTGTTCCAACTGCTGCAACAGTTCCTTTCAGAATAAAAGCAGAATCATCACAACTCCATTTTGGGTCTTGCTAGATGCCAATAAACAGTTGTGACCCGGAAGTATCTCAAGACTGGACTGGTCGGCGGCCGCGGCTGTGCTACGGGCGTCGGCTCCAGAAAGGTCCAAGCTGGACCTCTACACCTCCTGATCTAGACGAGGACTTTCGCCAAGGGTACGTAGACCGACAGATGGCGTTGAATGTGTTTATGAATCTCCAAACCAAGCCTAGCACGAAACATCATCTTCACTCCCATCAGAACTAATCGTTTCTCCGGATTTGCTGGTTCTGAACAACATTCCACATTACACCATTCTCCGTCTCATTCACCTTAGTTACACCATACATTTAGTGTTTAAAGTTAGTCTAGTTTAAATTTGTTTAGTAATAAATCTTTAAACTTTTAAAACTTTACTCTCTTTCTTTTGTCTCTGAGTGAATACAAAGTTGCAACATAATCCCTGCAATAAAAAGTTCCAATCTTCTGGTTAAAAGTACCCAAAGATCCATAAGATTGATTTCATATTTAATATGAATCTCATGTCTTATGGTTCATTAAATAGATGTAAATTAAATTCTTACAACAGCGAGTCATTCATCCATTCACACATTGGTGGTGATGAATTAGTGTAGCCACAGCTGCCCTGGGGCACACTGACATGAACGAAGCTGCTGGGTTAGCGTTTGATGAGATCTGATCGTAGTCACATTTTTAACAGTTCACATTGCCATCAAAGCAAAACAGCACCCACAAGGACAAAGGTGAGCCATTGAAACAAAAACAGACACAATAATATAGTAAAAACGAGTCTGTTAAAATATCCGAGATAACTGAAATGCAAGAGTCAGCTCATAAATAAAAGCCATATTAAAACAATACTTCTTCAATAAAGACTTAAAGTGCTCGAGGCTATGAGCAGTCCTTATATGAAAGGGTAAGTTTCTGCTTGCTGCCAGTGGGGTGGGAGGGTGCCTTGAGCCGTGATCTATTGTGGCCCTCCTCGTGCAAACTGTGGTACTTCAGGGTAGTGTATAGGTCTGAAGCGAGTGACCCTGAGGATGACAGAGACCAGCTGAGTGAAACCACACACTCTGGTGCTGAGCAAGAGCGAGTGTATGGTTTCATCAACAACCCGATGTAGGCCCCACCATGCCGTGGGGGCAGCGAGGAAGGCTGAGCAGAGTCCAAAGCGAATGGGGCAGGCCCCTGTCACTGGCTCTACAGCGGCAGGAAGAGAAACCGAGTGAGCCTGCTGGAGGTGTTCGGTGGCAATGATTGGTGTGAGAAACATGAGATGCAGCTGTGCTGTGGAGGACTGTGTTAGGATTTTGCTCTTTAGAGGACATTCATGTTTTATTTAAAAACTAACATCATCATCATCATCATCATCATCATCATCAACACAGTCAGAAAAACTCATATTCCCCCTAACAAGTTATTTCTTTGGTCCTGCAAACATCTTGGGAGTTGGAAAGCCATGATGAAGCTTGTTGGTGCCCTTTCCTGAACCGCTGCATCAAACCTCCGGTCTCACTACGTTGGTGCACCAGCGGGAGGTTGGTTCTGAGGAACGGCAGGTGCTGCTGGATGTTGGAAGCTACCTCGCTGAGGGCAGTGATCATCCCCTTCTTTGGGACGGCTGGCGCAAGGAGTGGGTTGAGGTTGCTCCAGGTCACAAACCATGGCAGACAGCTCAGTCGTTTCTTGCACACTTTCAATCGGTCTTTGTCAGACTTGTGACCTGCCTGTCAACTACTAGGGCCATCTTAAGTGTATGAGTCGCGCTGCTAGGGGAAGCTGCAGCTGAAGTTGAAGCAGCACGAGTCAACAGGATGGATAAAAAGAACATGGATGAATGCAGAATGTTGAACAGGGATAAACTTGTGGAGGAGGCTAGGGATCAGTGTTTTTAGAAATTGTTTACATTCGAAAATGTAGATCCCCACGGCCTCAAAGAAAACCAATGGAGCTCAGACGTTAAATTACTGCTAAAAATACATCACTAGAGTAAACGTAGGACTACTTCAACATGTGTAAAATCAAGTAAAAGTTAAAAGTAGCCATCTACAAGCTATCCTCCACTAACAGTAAACAAATATTTAGTAAAAACACTACTTGAGTATTGAACAACAACAGATTTAATACATTTCTAATTTTGTCATCTTTCTGACAAAACCCATAAAATAGTGGACATTTTATGTTAATAAATTATACAAATAAATGGCATAACGATAAATTTGACATACTCTCCATGTTTGGGAGATGGTAACATTAATAGACTATAAATGGACATTCAGTAAGAGTTATGCCCTTCCTTAACAGCTGGGACCAGGTGTCTCTTTGTTAGTTATCCTATTTCCCATCGAGAACCTCTTATCCAAGCAGGAAACAGAACAAAAAATCTTACGTTGTTATCAAGTTTTTGCTTCTTGTAATTGTGTGACCTGGCATGGCAGCTGTTCACAGAAAAGGAAATTACCATTTTCTGCAGGTTTATAAGCTCACAACACATAAAGCAACTAATGGGTCCATTGTTTGTACACTCAGCTATCTCATCACACAGCACGCCACAGCACCCACTACGTAATCTGACAAAGACCGGTTGATGTGAGGGTGAAACAGGCCAACAGAGCGGATGGGAATCTCCTGCATGTCTTTGTGCAGGTGCTCAGGGAGAGAAGGGAGGGCTTTGACCCAGACAGCGCGCTGGAATAGTGTTGGGAACATTACTTTTAAAAAAGTAACTAGTTGTAGTTACTGATTACTTTGTCAAAAATGTAACTCCGTTACTTACTGATAGGGAAAAAGTGGTTTTCGCTGTCATTACTGCTTAAAATCATAACTGCCTTTTAAGTAAAAACACCTGTTGCTTCATTAAATGCAAGTGTTATCCTTTGCCAGCTTTCCCGTCTCAACAGGGAAGATAACGACCTTCCTCAGACCATGCTGTTCTGCGTCATCAGTCACACTCCCATGAGAAATAGAATGTTGACTGAATGCACCTGGTTTTGTGTGAGGGAGATGTGGCATTGTTTTTACTCCCTACGTTAAACAGCTTCCACCTGAATGTCTATGGAGCAGTTTAGGAATGTGTATGTGTGTGCGTTGTTTGTGTGTGCTTTGTTAATAAAAACCCTCAGAGGACGAATGTTCGCTGAGACTGTGTGAACCAAGCTTACGGGTCGGTATGATCATTGCTTCACCTTTCTTCCTTTGCAAAGTAAACTGAACAATAATATTGCTCTAATCCTCTCTGTGCGTTTGATTTATTTTTAAGGTTACTTGGTATTATTAAAAAAATAACTCAACACTTTGGTGCCGTGACCGACCGCAAAGAGCCAGCCGTGGGAGGCTTTCTCCGGGGGGGCGACGTGGCGCACCGCTTTCCTCAAAGCCCAGCGGGCTGAATTGCTCCGCTGGCCGGCAGTTCTAGCTCTGCAGGACGTCTTCCGCCATGGCTCTTGTGCGTTCGGATTTCGGGGTGATACCGAGCGCACAGGGGTGGAGTAAGTACCCTTTTAATACGCACCTTTTCGTAACGTTATTTGGCACTGTGATTTTTGTTCTGCTATTCAAGCTTGAAGGACTCTTCGAGCCCGACGGGTGTCGGGTACTGCCCTAGGTCCGGCTGTCCGGTTGATAAACTGTGTGAAACAAATCTGAAAGAAAAAAACAGTAAACCAGATGCGGGGGGATGATAACTAGGCTGATAACATTTTCCCCACATTATTAATAAGTCATTGCATTATTACTCTACCTGGATGGAAGTACCTTTAATATTAGATGATTGTTGCTGAAAACAATTCAAAATCAACAGTGATCTCCCAGAATTTTCTTGTGCTTTATCGCCACAGGTCGCGAAACCAGGAGATTGGGTTCTGATGAAGGTGCTGAAGTGAAACGGGGCAGCCAGAGGTCCATTCGAAGTACTTCTCATCCCTCCCACTGCTGTGAATGTCGCTGAGAGGCCATCTCGGATACATCTACCCCAGTGACAGATAAGATAAGAACTACTTCAAGCTTTCTGGGTTCACCACACTGCTGATGTTGGTGGTCGTACTCATGGCTCTGCACTTGGGCCACCTCTCAGCACCTGATGGAACAACTGAGACAGCAGCATTTGAGGGGGTACTGGAACTGGAACTGAAATGACAGATTGGGGCTTCCCCTGAGCCCACCTACATGACAACATGACCTGCATCCACCTTGGCTGAAAACCCCTTGGAAACAACTACAACAGGACACAGCGAAGAAGAGACACTGGGAAAGGATCGACTACAAGCACCTGCACCCAAATCTCCAGACTGGTTTCACAGTCAAAGACCTGTAGGACCTTTTCGAGGACAAGATCAGCTCCCTGACATTTGGACAACTGCCACGGAACA